TTTGTCACATTTGGTCCTCTTTGTAAATATTCGTCACTTTTCGACACTTCTGGCCACATCTCTTAACGCCGTTATAGTATGTCACGCTTAGACACTTCAAATCTTCGTCGTATTTTAACACCTACGGTGATCTCTCGTCACGCCTTTACAGTAGGTCACGCCTAGTCACGCTTTGTCACTAATATATGAAATATATACATAATTTAAGATAATGGAGCGGACAGCAACGGCAGCAGTGATGAATCGAGTGATATGTCAGAAAGCGATGGTCTGTGAGGATTGGAAGAATTGGAAGAGGGCTGAAGAGTTGTGTAGAAGATAAAATTATCTAATACTCTCTGCAGTGTTAATTTTCTTGTGATGTGTAGTGTAGTGAAATCTACTTTTCTGTGTTACATACCATGGAGACATTTTATTTGGAGTGTGCTGTACGCGGCCTACTGCCATCCCTTCCAGCAAACTTCTCGTAAGTGACTCGCTCCGAGGTTCCAATTCACAAAGTTCAGCGGCCAAAAACACTGGAACACAGTGTGCTTACAGTTCAGTATCTCACGCCACTACATACCACATGTTTGCAATTCTCTATGTTTGTATGTATGGGTGGATGGATGTATAAATATTCTTTTACTCTTGTATTATGTTAATTATGCTTTTCATATATTGCATTAATTTATTATAATATATATTTGGTTCACAGAGAAATTGAGAATTAACAATATTTTAATGTAACAATTGTAAATGAGTATGAAAAATTATGCTTTAGCAAGCTATTGAAAGTATTGCATGCTATTAAATGAAAAAAACTGATCTTTTGTAACATTACAAAAAGTTTGTTTCACCTGATACTTATTATCACGCCATGCAGACGTATGAAGTGGTGGAGGTATAGCTCCACTCTTTCTTGAACTTCATGGAGGTGAGCATTCAGCTTCACGCCCCAGCCACTTTGCCCCCGGAGAAAGCCCTCTGGTACATGTTGGATAGACGAGAGGACCCACATTTGTTCTGGTAGAGGAAGCTATGAGAAAATCTTTCGCTCCTGTCAGGATGGAGGCAGCAAGGACCTCTGAAACGTCGGTAAACTTCTACCAGACTACACGGCGCAACAGCCCAGAAGACAGAAATCTTCACGAATTTTTATTATATAAAACCAATGGAAAGTTTCCTTTCTTTCATATCCTATCCTTGGCCAATATCGATGTTTCGAAGGCCTACCAAGTTCCGCCCTCAGTTTTCCTGACTAGCCCCACAATTTTAAATGCGGGGACTACAAATGAAGGCTTCTCATGGTTTATCACTCAGAACATCCACAGTCATGTTATACGTTCCCCGTTTACGCGTTTTCGATATGCGCGGCTATTGAAAGAAATGTAACCACCCTCATGTAACGAAAGCAGCTGTGCGACCAAAAGCAGGCTCTGATAGAACTGTATTACAATGCAGTGAAAACAAATTGCGTTTCGGGTGTTCCTAGTTCGTATTTGTGTCAGAATATAAGTTAATCTGACGAACCTTTTTCGTAATTTCCTTCAGTCACTGCAGGCGAATTCTTGGATAGTAACTTTAAACAATTAGTCACCCGAAACGCGAAACTAACTGATCCATTCTGTCTAGTGTCAATATCATGAAAACGTGGATTTTCTTTAATTCCATGCGGCTTACAGGAAGTTTTAGAATGGTGAGTGGTTCGTGTTTCAACATCATTGGTACAGTGAAACTATTTAATGGCACATCTGGCAACATAGCACGTGGACAATAGCTGCTAAAACCGCGTGACTTAATTCGAAACTCTGGCGTGAGTACAACACGTTCAACCCCCTCCCACTTCGCTGTTTTCATGCAACGCTCCACCAAAAGCTCTGCCAAATGTGTACTCTGATGAAGGCCATTGATCAATAAAGTACAGGAAACCCTGCATCTCATCTCAGAATTGTTTTCGTGATTTGCTCTGTCTTTGGAATGCAAGGTTATGTTCAATTTTCTCGTGTTAGGAACAAAATGCTTCTACAGGACCGTAACGAAACATTTTAACTTAAAAATCCGTTTAAAGTACTTTTCAATTTTGGTGTATTAATTTGGTTAATAACACGCACACCTTGTTTCAGATTTCGATTTCATATGCCTTTAAATTATGACAGTTACAGTTATAGTGAAATCCATTTTTCAAACCATGAACGTGATATCTCGCTCGAAACTCCGACTACTTCTGATCTGAACACCTATAGCATTTCTATCTTTTAAAAAGTTTGTGGCTTCTCAACAACACAAATTATAAACTAGCATGGAAATATACTTTTCATAACTGAACTTAGCGGAGGGATTGTTAATTTGCAAACAAATAAAACGACATTATAAAATAATACAACTTTCCAGATTACATTGTTTAACAGATATTGAATTTTACTGTCTTTATTTTATTTGAAACAGCTGGTTTTAAATTTTACGCTTCACACAACTGTATGTAGCTGAGACTCGATGTTCACTGGCCCATATTCCAATTGTTCGTACTTGGTGAACAAGTTTACAGTGGATCCTGATATTTGGCTACTTAAGTTGTCATGACTTTATCGTATCAGAGGCAATATTATCATTTAATTTAGACACGTGAAAGTTGGTTTCGAGTGAACTTCGCATAAGCTTAGTGGTATAAGTTTTCCCGATGTAATATATCCTGGATATATGAATTTCAATTGGTCATCTTTATTCTCCTTCGTCTGTCTCTGATTAGGCCGTCAGAGCTGCTCCAATTTGTAATTACTTTATCTAACGATAAACCCTTTTAGACACAGTATTATGTATCAGTTTCTGATCTTTCCAGTAAGAGTTGTATTGCCAGCCTTCCGTAACCTTCTTGATTCTTCTTCTTCTTCCTCGGTGCTACAGCCCGGGGTTGGCTTTGGCCTCCCTCGCAATAACCTTCTTGATTATACTGCACTAATAATATTAGGAGTTAATCGAAATTCAATTTTAACCGTGAGCATAAGACTCGAGTAGCTGACTAATGATGCATGATATTTGATCGGTTCTACTGTCCTCTAATATGTAAAGAGCCACTTAACCACGAAAGTAGGACAGAGGGCTATTATTTCTCGTTTTTAAAGTTCCCTGCATGAAAGTCATTTCTGCTGCGATGATAGCGACCTCAAAACACTGTCATTAGCGTATTGTTATAGATGTAAAACAAATTACACAGGTTTCATTTCGCTCAATTGGAAGTGTTCGGTTGTATTTGATTCAATATAATTTAGAATATAGTTATTTCCCAGCATTGTATTTGTAACTAAATGCCATCATGATGTCCACTAAACAACATATACCTGTCCATATTAAGTAGCTAGTGCTGTAACATGTCAGATATAAAAAGACTTGTAACACGATAAATGCCATAAGTAGTTGTTAAGTTAATGTATCTGCAGAAACGGTTCCAAATAAATATACGTTTCATCTCCTTGTGCAGTAGGATTCGAAGCTCTCACGAAGGTGAGTACGAAAATGGCTGTCTTCACGACATTTTTGCTGCGAGAGGCAAAGGCATTCTTTTGTTTTGAAACAAACTTCCGGGAAAAAGCGGCCAGCATGAAACTGAATACTCACCTTTATCTGTTGTCGAAGTTAAGAATGAGTGGAGATTACCTTCGCTTTCCCATGCGTCTTAACACATCGACGATTTTCCCTTTTGCACATTGTCACAAACCTGTGGATTTTCTTACGTGGCATGTTCATTACTTATCTCTTCGCCTTTCAGTCCCAAAAATTTCTGTTGGCCTTTGAGTATATTAATATAAATTTATACTTTTTAGTACTTCTTAGAGAGCTTGTTCTTGAGTTAACGTTGCAGTATAAACTGAAAAAATTCTTGGGCGTCAAACAAGACGTATGGATTTTCACGTGTCCTGAACCAGAAGCCATGAGGGAGGAAGCCCTAGTCTTGATACGTAATAGAATGTATGGATTTGTGAATCTCCCAGTATGGAATAGATTAGGGCATGGATTAGTTCTTCCGGAATTAATCCGGTTATAACTGCCCTTTTATTTAGAAATAGTATTAAATTGCGAACCAGTCGAACGGCTGTAGGTTTCCAAAATCAGGGAAAGATGCAAGCAAGTCTTATATTGTGTCTCACACGAAGCTAACAATAATATTTATTCAAAGTTCTTCCTAGATTTTCTGATATAATAGTTTAATAAAAATAAATAAAATTTGCACACTTAAATGTGTCTAACCGATGTACTTTCCATTATAAAAATATCAATACTTTCGGTTGTCTGCCTTGTCTGCGAGATATACACTAGCGCAGCCAAACGCTCTAACGAGTATTCCAGTAAACTAGTAGCCAAAACAGTGGTGCCAATATACTTCATTTCATACCATATACTACTTGACTAAATCTTTGTACCGTACTTGATTTTTGAGTTAGCTATATCTGATTACTTGGCATGAACAAAATTGTATTCTGTTTCAAAGGAGACTATTACACAAACAGTAATATCAAAAATTGGTTTAGTTCATGTCATGCCATAGATTTGAAAACGTTTATACCTGATAAATGTTAAGCATAAACGTTAAGCTTGACAAAAACTTTCTCTGGATTCATATCTGAAAATTGGCCCCTAACTTTATTTCTGGTTTTTCTAATTTTTCACAAATGTGACTACGTTGTTCCTCTGGTTTGACGCCGTTTGGACACGTGGGTAGATACCAAATAAAACATTGTCTTCCTCTTCATGGCCGAAGAACGAAATGTAATTTCTTTCCAAAATGTTGGTATTTGCCAAAGAGTCCGCACGGCGTCAAAACCTTCACTTTCACCACCGTGAGAGCTCAAATTTTATATTATTCTGATTTGTTTAATGTAATACAGCAAGCACGCAGGTCCGCGCCCACTCACCCACAGCACCATGAAATAAGAACACCTTACTATGCGTATCAAACTAATTTATGGTAGTTATGAGTATAATTAAATACCTTAAGTTGCTTCAGGTTCATTTTGCGTAGGTAAAATATAATGTTGGCAGCACATCAAGGTTACCCCATGTGGACCATTACTTCCGTTGTTGTTTCGTTGTTGTCGTGTGATTCTTATGTTCCTCTTGCGTTGTGAGGATTTACATGTTTTGTTAGTGCAAGTGGAACCATATATAGGGTTTGAAATGGAACTCAAACGAAAATATGAAGACGTAATCACAGACTCTGTCAAATTAAGATGTGAAAGAAAAGCGGCAATTAGGAGTTGCTTGAAGGAGAAAGTCGGCATCATTAATGACTGTTGGATCTCTGACAAATCACTGCACACAGGTTTGTGTTGGACTAAACTGCCAACTCTGAGTTTATAGAGAGTTGGTGTCAATCCGACATTGGCAAGCTTGCGCAGACAAATATAATAATTTATTTACATACAGTTTGCATAGAAGTGCTTTTTTCACGTTGGTGTGCATGTATCTGACAATCAAATGAGGAAGATCAATATTATCTAAGATCATTTAGCAACATTTAATACAAAGAAGTCATCACTGATTAATCACAAATGAATAGGAATGTTACACGTATAAGGAAATTGGAATATTTTGGTATTTTAAATTGACGCTCCAGTACTTCATTTGTTTAGCATTCCGGTTGCTTGTTTCCGGCACGTTGCCAGCTGTGTAAGTAGTCCCGTAGCGGGAAATTGATTTAAAGTTTGTAGTAATTTTTATTTCTTCCCAGTACATGCACACTGATTTAACATAAAAGCCTTGATGACGATTGTGTTGTTATCCAAATATACCTGTACTAGGTAACAAAAGCATGGTTATTTTGTGTAACTGATGGTAAAAAAGTACAGATCACAACTTCAGTCCCCATAATGTAAACTGGTAATACAGTTTGAAGGCTCGTTGTAGGTGTAATGCCTCAGAATGTGTGGTCTTTAAATGTTGTATTAGTTGATTAATATAGGGAAAAACGCAATATACAAAAATTTTCGTTACAGATTTTGGTGTTCATGTAGATGCTTTACCCTTTAAACATTGCATTGTGGAGAATTTCATACAAGATAGGGAATATCTAAAGGAATTGAAAGCAGAGCTCCTAGACCTTAAATTCATAATGAAGCGGAATGACTTGTACCAGTTCCACCAGTCACATGACTTAGCAGCAATAAATAAACCTCTGATTAACTCACTGAAGCAGTTTCTTGTTGAAGAATGTTGTACATGGCTGGAAATGGCAACAAGTATAAAACTTAACACTAAAGTCTCTGTGACATGTTCTTCATATAATTATTCAGGTAAGTATATTATTTTAGAACTGTGTTATTAAAGTTGTGTATAGTAAATTGTCCTATTACACAGTGTGAAATTATTTAATTGAGTTTTAAAAGCATGAAGTTGAACATTTTATTTCCTCCTGATGCCATGCACAAGAATATGTGGAATATTCCTTTTACACCTACTGTATGCAGTCTGTCATGGCTTGGTTTCATAGGCTATTTATTATGCTGTCTCAGTTTTACAGATAATTTATTGTTGAATGGGAGAATGATTGTGAGTTCTAAAAATTAAAAGGAAGTGCAATGAATGTTGTTGCCTATTTTTAAGAAACTACTCCACTTGCATGGCAAAAAACAACAAAATACCTTGTTCAGTTCTTGTCCTTAGGTTTTTGCAGCAGGGGATCAGTGTGTAACTTTGGCTTTCAGGGTTGAGCCACACTGAATGTTGAAAACTGTCCATTTTGGCAGACGTAGTTGCCAACCTCAGGGCAGATAGCAGTCCATTCTTCTGCTGTACCAATCAGCACCATTGAATCCTACTTAACACATACTAACTGCCCTATATAAAACTTTCAGACATGCCCTACCACCACATTTATTTATCCTGAGGATAGCGACTGCATTGTGTGTTTAAATGGACAATTTTTAACATTTGATTAAGTATAACCCTGAAAGCCAAAGTTACTCATACCTTATTCCAGAGAGCTAACCTTTAGGCTTAAAATCAAAAACAAGACCTCTGAAATACAAAGCAGGTGTACAAACCATTTTAGTATAGGCTTTATTTCATGGCTTAGGCAATATACGACTTTAGAAATTTGAAATCAGTATCAGGAATGATACTATTGATCTCTTATTTTTTTCTTATCTCAATTGAAAATGCAAGGCACGAAAGAGTGGGATCATGTGTGTATTAACCATTAAGAATAGCATTGCACTAGCTGAGATGATGCAACATTTCTGACTCCATATTATTCTTTTGGGGAAGCTATGTAGACTATGCATTTTATTTTCCTTTTAAACTAAGCAGAAGAATGTGCAGTATTAATTTATATACTATGTTTGTATCCTATCAGATCACCTGCTGTGTCATGATGATAAATGTGAAGATAGAAGAATTGCATTTATTCTCTACTTGAGTGAACACTGGCTGCCAGATTATGGTGGTTCCTTGGAACTTTTTAACACAGATGGTAAGTTTTTAAAACATTTAAATAGTTCAGTAAAGTGTGATTCACTCTTGTAGGATTTGAGGCATTCACAGCGATTAGTCTGAAAATGGCTATCTTCTGGGTTGTTCCGCGGTGTAGTCTGGTAGAAGCTTCCTCTGAAACATTGGTAAACTTCTACCAGACTACATGGTAAAACAACCCAGAAGACAGTCATCTTCTCCTCCTCCTATAATTCACCTGTTGACTTTTGATTGGTTTCCCAAAGGTTAATGCAAGTGCCGTGTAGACCTCCTGCTTCTCCATGTAGGCAACATTCTCTTCTGTCCGGACAAAATTTTCCAGATTCTAAATTTGTGATACTCTTTATTCATCACTGCCATCTACTAGCATGCGAATATACCTTGGTGCTTGTGTGCATGGTATCTTCTCTATTAAGTGTACTTGATAGCTTTCTAGATGTGGTGAGGGCTGCTGGGAAAATGTTAAGTGTGACGTGAAGGGAGGGGTCATCTTTGGTGTCTTAAGCTGTTCATAAAATTATCATACTTATCTCATACCTCAAGTTTGCTTTATTCCTGCTAGGTGATGTATGTATGGGATTATCATCATTTCATCTTGGGACCCATGAAATATTTTCTACAGGTTGGACTGATCCCAGATTCAGGTTTAGAGTTTGACAGACTGGCATAGCTTGTCAAACAATCCCTCCTTCATAGACATTATCAGTTATTTTTTCCATTCTGCGATTTTTTAGGCAAGAAAATGCTAATTGTGTTTACATTCTCCCATGGCGACTTCTCACTCATTAATAGAAAGGCTATGATGCATTCAACATTCAAGACGCTTCATGCTTTGTTTGGAGAAGAGTTTTCAGTTTTTATGGCATTATGCATAGAAAAGGATAATTCATTTCCTTTGGCAGATGTGGTAACATTGTAATGGTTAACCTGTACAGTAATTGCGTTGGTATCTGGAATGAATGTTTGTGACTGCGGGTAATAAACTGAAGAGATTCTGTCAGCCGTTTGTGGATTTATGAAGTTGGTATTTAGTAAATTATTTCCAAAGAAAAATGTTTATATAATATTTTATGTACTTATTGTGAATATGCTTGCATTCAAATACGAAAACAAAAATTAGACTGTAATTTCAGTGTCAGCGGTTAAAATTGTCAGCACATAAGCATGCTATCATGTACATTTTAGAAGCCTTGGTATAAATTTTATATTTGTATTGAACATTATTGTATGTATTATATTGTTTCACAGATAATGGTCAACCCCAAGAAGTGGTGAAAAGTGTCCAGCCTTTGTTCAACTCTCTTGTATTCTTTGAAGTGATGTGTAAATCATTTCACCAGGTAAGCATATTGATATGTGTATATGAATATATATTTCAATGCTGATGTGGTGGTATGCATCCAGTGATCTCAGAATTTTTTTGAAAGGATGAAAATAACCCTGGATTTTGAACTTGTGAGTGCTGTTTTGTGTACAAGTGTTCATTTTAAAAAATAAATTGAGTTTACTCTTCCATATGTTGTGTCATTTGTTATCCTTCTTGCGTGTCTGAAGTACCATAATTTTTTATGAAAACAATTGTTCTTTTTAAAACATTATGTAAATTTAAGTCTCTTATTTAACTATAAGTAATGTTTGTCATTTGCATAGGTTGTACAGCAATGGCTTGTACTCAGCTTTAATTACAGGTACTAACTAACTAACTAGATGGCTTATGGAACCCGAAGGTTCATCACCAAATTAACCAAAGCCCTCCACCAGACCCTGCCCTGGGCCAACAAAATCCAGTCTCCATCAACTCTTATCTCCCATAGATCCCGCCTGAGATTATCCTCCCATCTACGTCTAGGTCTCCCCAGCGGTCTCTTCCCCTCAGGCTTCTCCCCTCAGGCTTCCCAACCAATACCCGGTGCACACCTCTTGTCCCATCCATGCGTGCTACATGCCCCGCCCATCTCATTCTTCTCAACTTAATCACCCTGACAATACTGAGGGAGGAGTACAGATTTTTAAGCTCATCATTATGCAGTTTTCTCCATACCCCATCGTCTTCTCTCCTAGGCCCAAATATCCTCCTCAACACCCTGAATACAGGCACTGGATATGTGTATATGAGGGATGGTCTGGACAAACTGTTGCATCAGATCATGATGACAGTGAAGGAGCTGGTCCCTAAAATGTCGATTTTAAGCAACTGATACAGCTGATTACCTGCCAAGATTTTATTAATATACAGTATTGAATGGTATTTCAAATGGCGAGTTAGAAATTATCTCGGAAGAAGTGGTCCTAGCGTATTTTAAGACACTGTCTCAGAATATGGTTTGAGGTACTGAGAAAACCACAGACATCATTTGTCAGAATAGCCAGTTTTCACGCTGAGAAAATTTATATACTGACAACAAGTACCTAGTCTGTGAGATTTTTACCAGTTCATATATTTTTAAATCTGCTAATAATTGTGGTTTATACTAAATATTGATAATGAACACTTATTTCATGTTTCAGGTAGCTGAAGTGGGAGTCGTAGATCGAACAAGGCTTTCTGTTAATGGTTGGTTTCATGGGCCTCTTCCAGAATGCAGTAATATTGTTCCAAATGCCCATATAGATGTACACATGTTTTATCCCATCCAGGTGACATTTGTTAGCATTGTGGATTATGTATAGGGCATATAATTTTGTTTTAAACCTGTATTTATTCTCACCAAACGATTTTGTTATAATTAATATTTTATGAGGTGTGACCTAGAAATTTCCAGATTAATGCATAAAATCAGAAGTATATAAGGTGCACCTTGTATGGGTGAGTCTTCAAGCAATGAAGAAAGTTCATATGAACATTAATCTAGAAAATAATGTGTAATGTAAAGTATTATTGTTATGGCCTGCATAGAGTATATGGTATAACTAAAAATAATTACCCATCTCTTGCTTAGATCCACCCATTTTTTACCTGTTTTGTTCTTATTGGCAGGATGACAGTAGTCTTTTAAAATATGTGAATCCTATGTACTTGGACTCTGACATACAAGAACAGATTAGTTCCAGCTTTGAGCAGGATAGTGAGATTTTGTTGCCAGACTTCCTACATAAAGATTTCTATAAAGAAATATGTGATTGCTTATGTAGTGATGATATTTCTTGGGAACTGCAAGGACCACCCAATCGTAGGTAAGTGAAATATTAAATCTAGAATTTGGAAAATGATATAAGATTAAGTCCTGTGAATGAAAATCAGAATTTTACAAGGGTGGTTTTAATTTGACTGGAAGTTTTTATTTTTTCTCAAACTCTGATGTGAGTCATTTATGTGTAGTCATTTCATAGGATGAGACATGTGCTTAAGGGGAGAGAATTTCAAGACTACTGTCTAATATGAATCACGTGATTTATTGACACAGTATGATCAAAATCCTGAATCAAATTCTAACCATCCACATATATCTCCAGAAATTTTATACATGAAATAATAAACATTTTAGCACACTTTTGGTATTTACACTTGGTTTTCCATTGAGAAATTGGAAACAAAATTTGCAATTATGTATTATGAAACTAATACATGATCTAGTCTGTTATCAGGAGCAGTTTTTGTGGATTCAGAAATACTAGTATCTACCATGTGCCAATTATGTTATACTGTAGTGAGGAAACAGTTTAATTCAGCTTTTGGTTGGCCAGAATTTCAAAACTAAAGGCATTATCACTTTCTTTGTTTTGAACTTATAAACAATTACCAAGAGGTGGTAAGGCACAAAAATTACTCTGTGTTAACTTGGTATAGTGGTCTAGCGGTCAGAACGCTGACCTTGTAATCCTGGGTTCGATTCCTGGTGGTGCCCAAATTTATAACTTGTGCTGGGCAAGGCCGTGGTCCAGGTATCAGAGTTTTCCTCAGGGGCTTCCCCGGTTTCTCTGTGGCATCCCAACAATTACTCCATTCTCATCATTTACACACAGAAGAAGGCAATGGCAAACCACTTCTGGATCATTTGCCGAGAAAACATATGAACAGGTCCCTATCTGAGGGAACTTTTTCATAATGTCACCAGGGGTCAGCTCTGACCCGATGGTACCAAAAAAAAAACCTTGGTATAAAAGAAGGGTTTATCTTATGTACTGTAAAGTGAAAAAAATTGTCATAACTTTTCTTTGCAGAAAGTATGAGACTTCATGCGAGAAAGTACTGCCATTACCAATGAGTAAGCTTGTGCAATTGTTGAAATCAGAACAGTTCTTCAAATTGCTTGGTAACATTACAAATTTGGAGTTGATGCCATCTCAAAATAGTATGTGACATTTTATCATACATTACAATTGTACATTAATGTGGCTTTATACACGTAAATGTAATTTTAAGCTTGATTCTTAGTTTTCTTGTTTCTTCCATGATCTTCAGTTTCCTGCCCCACAGTAGACAAGTATTTATCAATGTTCAGATGTAGGTCCTGTCCCAACATTTTTGTATATTTTGGAATTATATTGTGCTTGTTCATAATGGATAAGCCTTTAGTCACTCCCCCCAGCATTTTATGTTGTTAATAATTTGAAAGTAAATGGATTAAATATTTTTTCAAGCAGTAATGAATTCTACTTTCCTTTGTACATATGATTTGAATGAGAAACAAACATAGGTTGACTAATTCTTATACTAGCATTTGCTTGGAAATACTGAGGAACTTTAATATATGAGAGGATGTGATTTTGCTTTATGTACACCCATAGCATTTATTGCATAGAGCCTCATCAATTTTGGACTTCTTCTCGCTATCTTCTGGGTTGTAGCGCCATGCACTCAGATAGAAGATTATTGGTGTCTCAGAGGTCCTTGCTGCCTCAATCATCAGGATCTGGTGATGGAGGCAGCAAGGACCTTTGAAACATCATTAAACTTCTACCAGACTATATTGTGCTACAACCCAAAAGACAGCCATTTTGATTCTCATCTGTGTTGGCCACTGAACTGTAGCCCAACACTCTCACGCCTGAATGTTACTGGCTTGACTAACCATAGGAATAATAATTTTTGAATAGTACTGAGTACAGATCATCCCAAAGATTCAATATTCTGCCAACAGTTGCATGGAGATACTGAAAATAACCACATAAAGCTTCAGTCAAGTTGGTCTGCCTCTGAGCCAAGAATTTACATTGAAATGTTTTGAATATACATCAGGAGTGCTAAGCAGTCACTGAAACATTCGTTGGTTGAGATTCTGGTTTAAGAAAGAGGAAAATACATATAAATGCTTTGTGGGTAACTTAATGCATCAAGAATAGAATGCAAGTACAATATATGAGTGTGACTCATTACTTCTGATCCTGCATCATAGAAAAGATTCACTGAATAGACTTTGAGCTACATATGAGGTAATCAGATTCAAGAGTTCATGTCAAACACAAATACTTTGCTACAATTCTACATTAAATTGCATATTCATACACGAGAAAGAAATTACACTAGGTGCTGTGCCACCTGGCATGAGACTGCGGTTAAACCTTACTTCCAGTATTTACCAAATCTGTGATAAAAAGATGCATTTCTCTCACTTCACTAACCACAAGAAAATTGAATAAGTGTGAGTTAAAATCAAGGAAATGTATTAATTTTTGTTCTAGCACTTTTTCGTGGTGCTGGTATCTTCACTATTCCTGATCTCAGAATTGTTCCACAAATAAAACTGCTTGTAAACTGATTTACCATGCTGTATAGTTAACTTCACTGCTTGAATTTTGTTGTCACTGTATGATGCTTTTATAGCTGAAGTAATGCTGCCCCAGTGCTCATATGAATTACAGCGGTGGAAAAATGGTTTCTATACTTTAATGCGTGATGACCATATGAGTAATGAGTATGCACTGGATGCCATCATCCACTTCAATGTCCACAGTTTGAAGCAGCTGCAAGGAGGTTTTGTGTCCTATGTAGCTCGTGATGCAGATGAAGAGGTAAGTTGTTTATCTGATCCAGATGTTTTGATGTGCATCCATAAAGCTAATGTATGTGCATGAATTTCTTATGTTGTGTTTGAAATATTCTTTAAATATGTCTTGACTAAACAAAGTGGTATGTGGTATGCAGTCATTTAAACACAGAAGTAGATAAAATTAAGTGTTGCTGGGAAGATGAGGATTTAACAGAGATTGCAATAAGTATAAGCTTTGATGCAAAGTTACCATTTTTTTTAAATATTTTAAAACTCATTTTTAGGAAAGCTTTAAAGTTATCATTACTTCCACCCTTTGATGTCGGAATGCCAAGACTTTCTTTCTAGGAGAATAAACAGTGGTTTACTACACCAGTTTTGTTATAATTCTTTTTGCTGTTGCTACTGAATCTCCAAGTTGCTTTTGTTTCCCTTTTTCAGTTGTTGACTCTTCTACCAAGCTATAATGCTCTTGCTTTAGCATTCAGAGACAAAGATACACTGCGTTTTGTGAAGTACATTAACAGTGTCTTGCAAGGGTGCTTTCACATGCTCCAGTTTACATATTATGAGACCTTCACATCCTCCAGTTCTGAAGAAAAGGCAGAAAACATATCATAATACATGATGGATTACTAGAATGTGGTGCTTGTAAGTGTTAATACTTCTGTTTTCAAAGGAAGGTAAAGAATTTCAACCAAATACATCATCACAAGTCTGCTGTTTGGAATTAAATATGTTTAATGTTAAATTTGCAACTGCAATGATTTTATCAGTTGTTATTAATGTTATATCATCACTAATGAAATTTGTGTATGCAATATGCCTTTCAGTATTTTAATTTAGCCTGTGATAATCTATACAAAATTCATCAATTGTGGGATGACTGTAGCTGAAAAGTGTCACATGCAATAATGTATATGTTTTAATTCTCTCTTTCCTTGTTTTCCCCACTATTTATAACAGGAATTTCATCTTAACTGCTTGCAGTTTACTTTCCTCTCTTTCTTAGTACATGTCCATGTCTGCACCATGTAATCTTTTTAGAACACAAACTGAAAATTGTAATTTTACATGTGAACTCTTTGCTAAATGATACATTTTTCAAGTCTTTACATTTCTTTATCTTAGTTTGGATCTTGCTGGTTTTGTACACACTTCACAAGTAGACAGATTTATCTGTTTTTTCCATTTATTTTCACTACTGTGTTTTGTCTCATGTTGTATTATCTATACTGGCTCCCGGGTTGAATGTGGTTGTCATTATGAACTATGCACGATAAGTGTTAATTGCGTGTTCATAAATTCTCCAGCTGCAGTTGTCGGAATCTCATTTATTTTTTTCATCAAGGATTTCTTCATGCTGATCATTTATATTTCAGTCCATATAAACTGCAGAATAAAGTGAAACCTAAAGTAAAAGATCATGAGGAATGTCCTGTGAATTGAGAGCTGTATTTACTATCAGCTCTCCTTTTATATGCCTGTCGCTTTTCTCCGTTATTATGAATGTTATACGTATCATTCCTGGTTCTTTTCCTATTAGTTTCTGAGCTGCAGTGTGAGGTTAGTTTCTGAGTTGAATATCCAGAATGGTATTTTGTTGGTTCAGATTTATTTATTTTATATTCTTCTTTCAGTTTATTTGCATTTATTGTTTGTTGAATCGTGTTAAATAAAAACCGCTTGTTTGTAGGTTGTAAGGGGCATTTCTGCCATGCCAGGGCACCACCAACAGCTGCTCTCGAGGCACCTCGTTGCGCTTCCCGTAGGAGTTCTTCCTCAGCAAGCCTGTAATAAATTCATTGTAACACAGTGATCCAGTGTTTAAATTTCTACAGAGTGACTGAAAAGTTATGCAGTTAATTATTAAAATAACTGGATTGGCCCAAAGAATCCAAAGCAGGTATGTGTTAAACAGTCATTATTACACATAACCCCATGTAGGTTGCAACTTGTCTGAAATGCCAATCACCTACCAGTGCTTTTGTGTGGAAAGCTAAGGCAAGATGATGCCCTTTTCACTAGCACAATGTGTGTTTATTGTTAAACATGGCCTAAGATCCAGTTCTTATGTAACCTGCCAAGCTGACTTTGAGGTGTGAAGTTTCACATTGTGTTTTAGTTAACCTTTAATAATTCTGTGGAAAATATACTTGAAATTTTATGATCTCAACAGGTCACTGAGAAAAGTTGCTTAGCAAAGTGGATTGTCATATGGAAATGTAATGGCCTAATTAAGGAAAGGACTTTGGTCTTAAAATCTTTCTAGATGGTGCAATCATTATGAATTACATTTATTATATAGATATCAGATCTTGCTTAACAGATGGAGAACAATAAAACATGGAGTTCCCCAAGGGTCAATTTTAGGGCCCTTGCTTTTTATAATATACATAAATGACCTTCCTCCAACAATAAAAACAGAACCCATAATATTTGCTAATGACACAAGTGTCATAATTTCTAATAAAAACTTTGATGATTTCTGTTCAACATCAAACATAGTTCTGTCTCATGAGTAAATGGTTAACTGCTACCAAAGTGGCCCTAAATCTAGATAAAACAAATCTAATAAAATTTATAACAAATAACTCACCACAATATGCTTTAATGGAAAGTATATACAAGAGTCAATAAATACAAAATTCCTGTGTTTGCAAATTGATAATCACCAAAATTTGACAAATCATATTGATAAACTGATACCTAAGTTATGCAGTTAGATCTCTGTTGCATGTCAGCAACATTGACACACTCAGATCAGTATATTTTGTCTGTTTTCACTCTATAATGAAGTATTGAATAATTTTTTGGAGTAATTCATCAAACATCAAAAAGATATTCACTTTACAAAAGAAAATTGTTAGATTAATGGCTGGTGTCAAACCTAGAAATTCATGTAAAAGTCTATTTAAGAGATTAGAGATCTTAGCTCTTCCATGTGAATACATATTCTCATTAATGAACTTTATTGTAAATAACCAAGAACATTTTCAAACTAATTCTGCTGTACACAGTGTCAACACAAGGAATAAAAATCAACTTCATAGACCAATTGCCAACCTCTCAGGTTTCAGAAGAGTGCATATTATGCAGGGATCAAAATTTTCAACAGTCTACCATCAAATCTCACAAGTCTTGTAAATAAAAAGGCACAATTTAAACTAGCATTGAAAAGATACTTAATTACACACTCCTTTTACTCTGTCGATTAATTTCTATTGTTTACAAGTAAGTGATAATTTAACTTCTGTATGTAATGAGTATATTTATTTGTAATTTATTTCTTTAGGTGAACCCTTTGTTTGTATTAAATGAAATTTATATAATAGTATGAATTGTACTTTATAATATGTATTGTATTATTATTATGACTTTTTCCACATCCTGTCACCATCTGACTATCTTATGGATCCATTAAATATAATAAAAATGTATGGAAATACCTGCATTAGCAATGGGTTGCAGGACTCATTCCTCTGTATTTGAATTTACATCAAACAAATTATCATCTACAAAAAGGGCTTGAATTTATGCCTGTCTTGTATGAAAATGCTTTTAGATTATTATGAGACTGGATGGCAGTGCAGCCAGGTAGGACAACACAGTAGTGAATATTTAGGAATTGGACAGAGTGTGAACAGTCATGGCTTTCTATCATATTGTGACTAACTTATGGGTCTGATGCATTTGATAAATAAGTGTTATGGTGTGGCAGTATTAATTTCCTTTGCAGGATGACAGCTTTTGTGTAAAAGCAATAAAATTCTTTTAGGCAGTTAACCATGTCATGGTGGAGTAAAGTGCCAAACATTGCTTCATTACAAAGCCCATTCATACTTTGGCATGGAAAGTGCTGTTGTTAGTACAGTAAAAATATGTTTTTCAGAAATGTCAACTACATGAAGTATCATCTCTAAACTAAGAATATAGTAGTACTATGTAGCTTGTGAAGGAAGTGTTTAAAAAACACTATGTGTCATAAATTTCACTTACTTATCCAAATCTCTTTCGTCTTTCATTTCTTGAAGTTGTTTAGGAAGGGGAAGAAACCTAACTTGTGAAGTCTGTCATTCACAACACAGTATTACTGCCCCAGACTATAAAACGACTGTCAACAAAATCACAAATGACCTCTTGCTATCGATATTGGCATCCTTCGACTTCGCGTACGACAGAAGAAGAAGAAGAAGATTGCAGCAAATACTCTATAATTCTGTAATGTTGAATCCAATAATAGAGTGCAGCACTTAAATTTGGTTCACCGCATAGTTTAGAAGTGTGAAAAGTGGCTTAATGAAAATTATTTTCATGCTGACAGGGTGAAAACTTTAGCCCTGACAGAATTGAAGGATTTTAATTAATGATAAAGCTCAAGTTGTTGGTAAATGTACAAGTCCACATTCCAAGGACAATATCGACAATTTAGTAAACGAACATCTTATGTTGTGCGAAGAGACCTAATATGCAGTGCAGAGCCAAAATATGGCCTCAGACACTTACTGGCCAGTTTGGGAAGGCAGAATACATGAATTTAGAACAAGGAGCTTTTAAGTCCCATACCTCTGTAAACAGATGGCACTACATCTAACAACATGCCATCTATATAAATGGAACTACCACTCACAGAAGAGAAAGTCGACGAGGTTTCTGCTAGCGGTCATTTATCGTGTGATCAAGATGGTGACGCACGGAGGCATCGTGTTTCTGCTGGTAATATTTTAATTTAATTTATACTACAAATAAAATTTTGTTATTCATTGGGTTGTAAGTTCTGATAATGACAAACTTATTCATTGCAGAATGCAGCAAAATTTTTATCCCGGCGAGCATTTTCAACTTCAAGAATTGTTAACGCACAGCAGGTACGAATTTAGTTTTTGCTATTACTTTCTTTTAGTCGTGCTGTTTGTTTCTACTGTTCATATGAGCTGCAAGAGGATATACTCACTTGAAAAAAGTGCCGTATTTAGCTAAGGTTGAATATAAGTGTAGATAGTCAGTGGGTTCATACATAATTTAGTTTTTATTCATATTTTATTTATGGTCCTCTAGATTTCTTAATTATGCTAATTACTAACACCTGCCCAACATTGTGAGAAATCCAATTTGTTAACAAAATATTATTAAACAATGTGAAGAATGTACATATTGTGAGTGAAAATATGACAGCAGTGTTGAGTTTTCTTAAAAATATTTTAGCCAAAGTATAGATACAATAATTTATTTACCGTCTTTACACAAACTTAAAAATGTTGTTAAAATTACTTAAAATTATAACATTTTTTCATTAGATACTAGATCTTGTTACATTTTACATTGACGACATGTTTCGATGTTATCTCATCATCATCAGGTCTATCAATTAAAATCTGTTGCACTTCTTGCTCTGCGTATATTGATTGTTTTATTTGTTTGATTTTTTAAGTCTCTTCCATTAAATTTGAAGGCTGTGCCCGGATGCTTTAAATCGGGTTGTATGTGATGTGTTGTGTCCGAT